ACATAATATCTTACAAAAAAATGTAATATTTTCATATAACTTAACATTTATCAAATTCATACCTTTTCTCCAATCCATTAAATAAAGTTGTCCTTACCACACATCCAAAAAAAAAAAAAAAATTGAACCATTAGTAATCCAAAAAGAAAATAATACATAAATTTTAAATAGATAAAGTTACAAAATTCCTTCAAAGAACAATTATCATGTGTTCTATAAAAAAATTCATAAGAAAATAATAGGATTAATAAGGAAACTAATTTATATAACAATATATATATTGGATTAAGATGAAAAAAGATATATAAAATAAAAACATAATAGTATATTTAGATATAATATGAAATAGGAAACAAAAAAAAAAAATTGGAACTCACCATATTAATAAAATGAAATTGAAGAGATGGAGAGAAAAATATAATATATTAGTGTAGAGAAAAGTGATGGTTTATATATAATTGAGTAGGAAGATGGAAGGACATTATATATAAAGAAGAAGAAAACAAAAAGGTTGGAAAAAATTGTAACCGCACAAATACTTATTATGCCATGCATTAAAATCTTATGTATTTATTTTTCATAAATTTTAAGTATCTATTAATCTTTCTTAATTTTAATGCATTATATTATATTATATAATGTAGATAATAAAAACTAATAATTATAAAATAATTACGAATATAAAGATAAGAAGTAGAAGACAGAATATGAGAAAATAAAAAGGTTGAATTCATATTATTAAATAGATTTATTTACATAATTTATTGTTTTATAATTAAAATTAAAAAATAATTATAAGCTTAAACAGAAAAAAAAAGTCTTCTCAAAATATAAATAAGAGACTAATCTCTCTTTTCAAAAATAAATGTTATTTTTTTACTTTAAATTTATTCTAAATTAATTATTATTATTTATTTTTTAAAGAAATATTTTTTACTTTAATTCTATAATTATCTATTTATTTTGATTAATTTTCCTATCACAAAAAATCTTATTTTAACTTTTTTTTAAGGTTAATATATATATCATAAATGGTCCGAAATCTTTAATTTAGAAAAAAAAAAAGAAGCTATTATGAAATGAGTAGAGTAATATTTTGAGACAAATCATAAATAAATTTTTTATTATTATTTTGAAATGGAAGAAATATTTATAAATTTATTTTAATTTGTTTTACAATAAATATTGACTATTTTGTTAATTATTAATTATTTTTAATTATTAAGTTAAAATAAAAATTTAGTAGTTTAAGTGGATCTAACAAATTTAAGATACTCATTTTGTGTTAAAATAATTGTTATTTTTTTATGAGATTAATGTGTATTAGTCTTAATTTTTAAAGTGGATCTAACAAATTTAAGATACTCATTTTGTGTTAAAATAATTGTTATTTTTTTATGAGATTAATGTGTATTAGTCTCAATTTTTAAAAAACTTAAATTCTCAATATATATTTAAAAATTAAAATCTTAATTCAAAATTTAAAAATATAATTAGTTTTCAAATTTAAATATCAACATTTAATAAGATAAAATTTTAAATTTTAAATTGAGATTTTAATTAAATAAAAAAATATAATAATTTAATATTAAACTTTAATTTTTTTAGAAGTTGAGATTGATTTACATTTTTTTCTTAAATTTTAAAATTTAAGGATAATTTATATATATTTATTTGTATTACGCTTATAAAAATTAAAAGATAAGATAAGATTTTTTTAGATAAAGTAATTAATTAAAATAAATAAATAATAATAATATTAACATTAAAAGAATATTTATTTACTTTAAAAATAAAAAATAAAAAATAATTTAAAGATAAATTTAAAATAAAAAAAGATTTATTTACTTTAAAAATAAAAAATAATTTAAAGATAAATTTAAAATAAAAAAAGATAATTATTATGAGAAAAAAGAGTAGCAATAACCAAAGCCCAAATTAGATCCACAATCCACTCGCCTCATCGGCGCGTGGGTCAGAATTTCGCCCTGCTTTCGCATTCCCTCCCCCTAGCCTTTGTCGAATCAATCATCATCTCGACCACAACCGTATACGTAGAAAGAAAAGACGGGAGGGAAGAAGAGCAAAGTTGCAGACTTTGTAGATAGAGAAACAGAGATTGGTATTAACCATATTTAACGGACCGTTCCGGTGCTGCCTAAGTTAGCAATTCCGACGCACCGTGACCAAAACGACCGCCTTGAATCTCTGAATCGGTTGGGGTCGATGGCTGAGTTGACTCAGACCGAGGTGTATTCCTCTCGGTCGATTCAAGTATGGAGAACACTCCTGAACTGGCTCGCTTTCTTCTTCCAGATCTTCACCCAGATCCTCAGGTCGGTGGGTCACCATCCGCTTCTGTCCTCTTCATCGTCGTCTTCTTCGGCGCACCGTTTCAAGCCCTTGCCCGTCGTTGACTCGCCGGAGATCGAGTCTCCTTCGGCGGTACAGATCGCCGCCGTTTTCGACTCCGCCACCACCGTTACCGAGGAGAAAATCGAGAAACTCACGGTAACGATGGAATCTTTCAAATAATTTAATTACGCAATATGAAAATGTTCCCATTTAATTACGTGATGGAAAAAATGATTCTTTTGTGCTGTTCGATTTTTAAGAGCCGTTTCTACCTGAAATTATGGGGCAAATTTAGGGTAAAGAATTCAGCTTTATTGAGATTCTAGTAGAAATGTTTTATTTTACTTATATTGGTACTTAGCTTAATGTAATTAGCCAAGAATATGCATGAATTCAAAGTCGTGTTACTATGTGTGCTTATGTATCTCAAGCCCATAATTGCATAGACTTCAAACTGAATTCTGCTGTTTGCATAGATGTTCAAAATGTGAAGAGTGGGCTTTGTTTAAAGTTGTGCTAATTATACTTTGGAAATATAGAGATTATGAGTTTATTTTTGGACTAGTATTGGAGTGAAAAGAACCATAGAATTTATAATGTCATGTGCCTAGAATTCGGATGTGGAAGTTCTGTTCTGTTAATAAGCATAAAAGTCATTAGCCAAAAGCATGCCAACCTAGATTACGTGAGGTAAAGTGTTGTTATAAACGTTTTGGTTTGGTATTTTTGCTTTCCCCAACATATGCCAACCATTGCTTGACAATATTTTGAGTTGGGTCTAAAATGTGTGCACCTGCAGGTAGTTCTTGACTTGGATGAAACTCTAGTATGTGCATATGAGACCTCTACTCTGCCTCCTGCTCTTCGAAATCAAGCAACAGAAGCTGGATTGAAGTGGTTTGAACTTGAATGCGTGTCTTCAGACAAGGTTCCTTACATTACATCACATGTTGATTTAGTATTAAGTTGCTTCTATTTATTGTGAGAACTATAATGCTTGTGCACATATACATAAGTCGATATTGCTGTTGGTCTTTGAAGGAGTTTGAAGGAAAACCTAAGGTCAATTATGTTACTGTATTTGAACGTCCTGGCTTGCACGAATTTTTGAAACAACTCAGTGAATTTGCTGATCTTGTGCTTTTTACTGCTGGGCTTGAAGGTACACGTACTATTTCCTGTTTGTATTCTTCTTTTTCCTCGTCTCCCTTTGAACTCTTTGTTGACTTTGCTAATATATATCATATTGTGTGCTGACAGGCTATGCTAGCCCACTTGTTGATAGAATAGATATGGAAAATTGGTTTACTGGTCGACTTTATCGACCTTCAACAATCAGTACGTAAGTACTTCCTCTATTACCAAGCTTCTCAGTTTTCTGTTTTTCTGGAACTAAACTCCACTGGAAATTGATGAAATTGCAATCAAGATTACGTTTTACTTATTTGATGCCTACCCTTCTGCTGATATAAACAGGGAGTATCGAGAACATGTGAAGGATCTATCGTGCCTTTCAAAGGATTTATGCCGAACCGTTATTGTAGACAACAACCCTTTCAGTTTCTTGTTGCAACCTGTAAATGGAATTCCATGTATTCCATTTTCTGCAGGGCAGCCACGTGATACACAGGTACTAAAGAGTTTACATTATCTAATAAATGCTGTACTTATATATATCAGTTTTCATAAAATTTTCGATTCTTCACTTACCATCCCTATATCTGGTTTTAATTGTGTCAATAAGCTTCTGGATGTCCTCCTTCCACTCCTCAAGCATCTCTCCCAGCAGAAAGACGTGAGGCCTGTCCTATATGAAAGGTTTCACATGCCTGAATGGTTTCAAAAACAGGGTATCCCTGCTTCTGCTTGGAAAGTTGACGACAAGTTGTAGTTGTAGCCTACTATTCTTCCATTCCTTGTACAATCCATACCAGCTTTGTTGCTGAAATGCAGTATTCTTACAGGATTCTTGACCTTTGTATAGCATTTGCGCTCTGAAATTGTTGATGAAAGCTGTGAAAGATCTATCAAAGCATTAATATGTTCATCTTCTGTCCAATTTCCAGTAGTCTAAAACATTAATGTATTTAGATCATAAATAATTTTTTTCTTAGTAAATTTTGTTGATAATCTTGCAGTCCTGCTGGTTTTTAATGTGAACTTCAGATTTTTTTTTTTTTATTTTTATTTTTTGATCTCTCTTCTTGATGGACGACTGATGGCTGATTCTGTTTGGCACTCAGATAGTAAAATGGACCAATGGCTTAGCATAGCCTAAGCCTACAGGTAGAAGTGCCAAACATGGTGATCGAGGGCCACCTATGGACATGCCTGGACCAAGAGGTACAACCGCCATACCCAGCTGGGGAGTCTAAGAAACCATCCATTTCCCCCAGCTAGTTTGTATGTAAAATAATTCAGTTCCAGGCATGGCCAAACGAAGAGAATTTTGTTTAGCTGATAATTGAAGCGGGCTGACATGATGTTAGGATCTCCATATCAGAATAGGAATCTCCAGCACAGATATGTCTCTTTAAAGCTTGCATGTGCAACAGAGAAAAAGGCAACCTAAAGCTTCCATCTTTAAACACATATTGTCACAAAAAACTACAGGGTTTCACTTCTTGGCCAGTCTCCATTAAAAAGGACACATGAAGCTTGTAAAGAAGAAAGAGAAGGTATATGCATATACATATATATATAGACCAGATTCCTTTTGTCATTCAAAATCAAGGCTATATTCAAGTAAGCTTGTGAAGGTGAACTTTCCTTTTCCCTTGCAATATGATAGTGTGGGGATGGGAATGGGGAGTCAAGCTATCATGATATAGATTAGAAGTTAATAAACTTGGGTACCATCCTACATCAATTTATAGCCTAGAGTAGCTATGACGCCAATACCAGCACCAACCTACTTTCTCGTCACGAGAACTCTTTTGAGAACAAAATCGTTAGGCTTTAAAACAAAACAGATAATATTTTATA